CATCGTATAAAATAAAGACCTAGAGAATTCCCCTCGGCCGTTCAGCCACCCAGCCGCTCATCGTATAAAATAAAGACCTAGAGAATTCCCCTCGGCCGTTCAGCCACCCAGCCGCTCATCGTATAAAATAAAGACCTAGAGAACTCCCATCGAACCCTCGGCCATCCAGCCTCCCGGCCAACCAGCTGCTCCATTTTCTAACATGAAGACTTCGAGCAATCGCATCTCGCTCACCACACCATGGTTGCCTCAATCCCACTCTCATTGTCAGATGACCTTTGTGTGGTGTCGCGTTTGCCTCTCTCTGACCCCCCCCCCCCATGCACCGAACATTCCTCGTAACACTCCTGAATCCCTTGTTCTCCTCATTGTCGTTATCGACATCCGAATGCTCTATCCCTCGAGCCTTTCTCCGTAAACCCTCCTCCCCCTTCCTTCTTATTCTCGTTATCGACATCCGAACGCTCTATCCCCCGAGCCTTTCTCCGTAAACCCTCCTCACCTTCCTTCTCATTCTCGTTATCGACATCCGAACGCTCTATCCCCCGAGCCTTTCTCCGTAAACCCTCCTCACCTTCCCTCTCATTCTCGTTCTCATTCTCGACCTTCCGCAGGACTGGACGTTCAGTTCCACGCAGTTCTTCAACCTACAGACGGATGGTTGCGGCGGCGGTGGCAGCAGCAACGGGGCGTCCCGGGACCAGCAGCACGATGGCGGCGGTGGCGGCGGCGGCGGCGGCGGCGGCGGTGGCGGCGGCGGCGGCGGAGTGGACATCTCGAAGCATTCGTCGCCGGAGCCGCGCAGCGAGGACAGCGGCACGCAGGATCGCAGCGAGGAGCTGACTGCTCACTGTACGGCCCTCGTCACTGTCTTCTCTGATTGCTTCGTTACCGGCATTTACAGCAGCCTGCAGTTCAGCTATGAGGTAACGCACGACGCCAATGTAGTGGCTGACGATGTATATATTATATAGACAGACAATGTGGTCGTACTATCAAAGTATACATTTACATGATTCTACAGCAGCTTGCAGTTCAGCTACGAGGTAACGCACTATGCCAATGTAGTGGCTAACAATGTATATATTATATCAAGAGTAGATAATAACGCATGTGTTATTATCTACTCTTGACTATATAGACAGACAATGTGATCGTAGTATCAAAGTATACATTTACATAATTCTACAGCAGCCTGCAGTTCAGCTACGAGGTAACGCAACGTAAACACAAGATGACAGACAATGTGATCTTTTTAAGTATAGTGAATATAGAAATAAGTTGTGGATATAGTAATCAGTGAACCCTAACCCTAACCCTAACCCTAATCCTAACCCTAACCCTAACCCTAACTCTATCCCTAATTCTAAAATAAAACAAAATTAGCCAAAAATAATAAAAAATAAAATAAATAAGAGACAAAATTAGCCAATCAGAGCCGTCCCTTAGCGGATCACTATCTCTCCCCTGTGCCAAATTTTCTTTTAAGTATACATTTACAAAAATGTACAACAGTCTATAGTTCAGCTACAAGGTAATTAACGCACGATGTAAACGCACACGTTGACAGACAATGTGATCATATTAAGTATGCATTTACATAAATATACAGCAGCTGAGCCACTAGGACTAGTAGGAAAGTAGTCCATCCCTTTCCCTCACTTACTCCCTCTCTCCCTCTCTTGCTCTGTCCCTCTGTCATTTTCTGTCCCTCTGTCTTTTTAGCTCATCTGACATAGTCAGATGCAGCTTGTAGAATCGCATGATCGTCCGTCCGTCACTGCTTCGGCAATGGTCAGCAGGAAGGGACATTTCATGGTCCTTTCAATAAAGCATAAATAATGGCTTAGGTCCTCGCTGAAAACAAGAAAAAGTCTATTTTATTCAAATCGCGTCACACACACGAGCACAACACTACAGCCGTCAGCACCATGTCCCCACACACACACACAGACAAACAATGAGCTCATCAAACACACACGCCCTGCTGCCATTGACCCTCTGAGCCTGTGCGACCAAACACTACAGTCGCCGCGCACACACACAGTGTCACTCAATTTCCGGGCACAGTGATGGCTTTTTCCCTACCATGATGAATGTCACACACGCGCACAACACACAAACCACACTGAGCGCCACACACACATCGCGCGCGCCGCGAACACACACGCACGCACCACAAACACACGAACACGTCACACATCACACGAGTCACACTCCACAATGCACGTTAGCCACACACACACACACACACACATTAATCACAACAGAGAGCGACAAGAGAGAGAAGAGAGGGAGAGAGAGAGAAAAGAAAAGTAAAGGAAAGAAAGATGAAAGAGAGAAGAGAGAGAGAGAGAGAGAGAGAGTAGAGAGAGAGAGAGAGGGAGAGAGAGAGAGAGAAGAGACTTGGAGCCTAGGTTCGAGCGGTTTTAGATTGTGCTCGCAATTCTCATTCTCCGCTATACCTTAAGTTAGGAGTGAATGTTCCCGCCTTCTTTACACCTCTTGACCTTTGAACCTTTGACTCCCGCCAGCTTCGCATCCCAACTCGTTTTCGGATTACCGGTCCCCCACGTCCCGAATATCGTGACGCGTTAACGTCTGCCGGTTAAGATTTGGTGCCAATACCGGTTTTGACGGACGTGACGGACTCGCAACA